TTTATACAAATGAAGATACGATTAATTATTTTTTAGTGCATAAAACAGACAGTATAATATAGTAGTGTATAAAATAGTCAGTATAATATACAGTATATAAAACAGTCACTATAATATATTGTATATAAAACAGTCACTATAATATATAATATATAAAACAGTCAGTATAATATATTGAACATAAAATAGTCAGTATAATATACTGAACATAAAATAGTCAGTATAATATACTGAATATGAAATAGTCAGTATAATATACAGTATATAAAACAGTCAGTATAATATCTGTCTCTTATACACATCTAAAATAGTCAGTATAATATACTGAATATGAAATAGTCAGTATAATATACTGAATATGAAATAGTCAGTATAATATACTGAATATGAAATAGTCAGTATAATATACTGAATATGAAATAGTCAGTATAATATACTGAATATGAAATAGTCAGTATAATATACTGAATATGAAATAGTCAGTATAATATACTGAATATGAAATAGTCAGTATAATATACTGAATATGAAATAGTCAGTATAATATACTGAATATGAAATAGTCAGTATAATATACTGAATATGAAATAGTCAGTATAATATACTGAATATGAAATAGTCAGTATAATATACTGAATATGAAATAGTCAGTATAATATACTGAATATGAAATAGTCAGTATAATATACTGAATATGAAATAGTCAGTATAATATACTGAATATGAAATAGTCAGTATAATATACTGAATATGAAATAGTCAGTATAATATACTGAATATGAAATAGTCAGTATAATATACTGAATATGAAATAGTCAGTATAATATACTGAATATGAAATAGTCAGTATAATATACTGAATATGAAATAGTCAGTATAATATACTGAATATGAAATAGTCAGTATAATATACTGAATATGAAATAGTCAGTATAATATACTGAATATGAAATAGTCAGTATAATATACTGAATATGAAATAGTCAGTATAATATACTGAATATGAAATAGTCAGTATAATATACAGTATATAAAACAGTCACTATAATATATAGTACATAAAACAGTCACTATAATATATAGTACATAAAACAGTCACTATAGTATATAGTATATAAAACAGTCACTATAATATGTAATATATAAAACAGTCAGTATAATATACAGTATATAAAGCAGTCAGAATTATTGTATAATCAGTTGCTATAATATTCATTACATAAAACAGTCATTGAAACCTGTTGCTTCGAACTTTGCCTTCAGCGTTACGTCCCCGCGCACATAATCATTTAAAACGACCAATACGTTGGATTTCGAAGCGTGGAACGGCTGCGCACAAATTTTTCCGAAATTGAAGCATCAGAAATTGAGTTTTGGCCAGGGAAAACAGGTTTCCATTTCGCTATGCGTCAAAGTCGACCAGCTGCGGCCAGCCCTGACCAACATAGATCCAAGGAGATGATTATAATTATTTGTCTTCTCTGGGAATCGCGATAATAAAGCCGCGGAACAAGGAAGCCCGTGATTTCACGGAACGCGATGCATAATCCACTCCCGCTACCCTAACAATCGCGCGTCGTTACGTCACGCGTCAGGTCGGCCGATCCGCCAAGAAACACGTAAACATGCCACCTGCTTGACCGGGTTTTATTGCGTGCCACCAAATCATCGCGGAGTGGGACGAAACTACCTGACAGGCGATGGAAGATCTGTAACTGCGATTCTCTGCTTTTTAATAATTCGTTTCAATTTAATCGAGCTATATTTTTCGCGTTTCATTATTAATTTAAATGGTTCGACAAAAGATTGAGTACACGGATATGCAATTACACAATAGACACTGTGCAATACGTCTTTGATTTAATATTTTCGAAGTTTAAATTCATTTATGCAGCCATTCAAGGAATTTAAGTGTATATGGTATGGTATATAGTATTCCGAATAAATAACATTACGAATAAATAACTTTATACAAAATATCAAAATGAAATATTTTCGTAATAGATTTTTTTTATATATATTTCTATATAGTATAGTATACAATATACTATAGTATAGTATAGTAAATATAGCACAGTATATGGTCTAGTATAGTATTTAGAATAGTATACAGTATGGTACAGTAAATATAGTACAGTATACATTATACTATACTATATAGTGCATAATATATTATATTGCATATATATACAGTGTGGCACGGAACTATAGCACCGCCAAAATTTTATAATAATTTTTAACATCAAATTAGGTAATAATTAACTGAATGAATCAACGAAAAACAACTTTTCCGCGTTCTTAAGCCAACTACAAAACTAACCGAAACTATAGAAAGGGCTATAGTTTTACCACACTGTATCCTGTATGCAACTCCTCACGGCAGTTAACGCAGACAATTTTGTATTTTGCATAAATAAAATCCGCGGTCTAATAAACGCTGACGACTAGAATTATTCGTACGTGGAGATTGTTTTCCGTGGAAGACCGTCGGTAGGAACCTATACGCGGTATTTGGAATAGCGTTTGAAAAAATAAATTGCGGATGAACTCAATGAGAAAGGGGTCCACGCGTGCCGCGGCTCCGATTGGACGGCGATGGTATGCCGAGTGGGAGCGAACGCAACGCATCTCCGTGTTATTAGGACAAGGTCTCTAGCAACTTCCAATTTCTCCCGTAGAAGCTGCCAGGGACAATGACCTAGTAATAACAGTGAGAGAGCAGCGCGGAGAGTGCCATACGCTCGAGAGCCGCGAGCGGCACGAATTATTATCGGAACGACACGCGCGCGCAGAGATACGCTGCTCACCTGGCCGTACAATTTTTTTTTCTCCCGCGAATCTCTAACACGCCGCTCGAAATCATGTTCGTCGGGCAACGAAAGCCCACGGTAATTTCGAATCTGCTTTGAACCCGAGCCGCTGACCCAAGGTCACTTTTGACTCGTGATCGTAGTAAAACGATGCACGTGCAATCCGTCCGGGCGATTGTATTTTTTCAGCAGCGGTGAAAGTCTCTGCCCCCTTTTTGCTTAGGATATTCTGTGCAGAGAGACGTGAATAGACGAGGCGGCGAATGTTTGTGCGTTGAACCGCGGTGACCGGGTCATCTTGACCCGGGGCGTTCAAATCGATTCAGTAGACGAGAACGGAGAACGACCGGGGTGAAAAGAAAGGAGGCTAACGTGCGTCGGTATGACGCCGCGGATGGACGGAGTAAACACGCAAGGAAGATGTTATTTTATTTTAAAAATGTTATTTTATTGCCAGTTAATTCTCCTTTTACTTTGATAATTGTAGCACCGATGAATAGCTGAGATTTTTCTCGTTAAAATGAGTCCAAACACGACGGAAATCGGACTACAGCCATTGAAGAGCTTATTATTATACCGGGTGAGCCACGAAACTTGTACATATTGCACACTTCGTGTACTGTGTTGGAAACTTGATAACTTCTCTATATATACGAGGACCTCGACTCACCTCTGATACCATGTATTTCACAATTTTTCAGGAAAAGCATAATTAAAAAATTATTTCGGGTGTGCGAGTCGCTTGACTCACCAGGTAGATTGTTTATTAATTGAGAGTGGCTTAAACTGGTTCGATTTACGTCGTGTTTGGACTCATTTTAATCAGGAGAATCTCAGCTATTCGACGATGACACTATTATAAAGGTAAAACGACAGTTACTAAAAGTACGATCAACTCTATCGACGTTTATTTAATTAAATAAATTTTATTAATGAGAACTATACTTCACAGCAATAAAGAATTTTCTTGTCTTACGTCGAAACGATATAAATAGAACTGAAGTTGTAGAATATTCTTCCAAAATCCGGATTTAATCTTCGAGAAACGTTCGATGAAAAGATCGCCTATTATTACCACTAACTTATCGCTTTTAATTTCGTAAAGAGCAAACATTGAAAATCCCAAAAAGGGAAAAAGCGCAGAGATGGGCGAATAAACGTGTGATCGCTGGCGAAATGTAACCGACGTTCCAGGAATGTTGCGCGCGCGTTCCAATCTAATCCGCCGGCGATGCTAATCTGTCGGCGATAACGTGGATCGGCGTTGCGAAACGAGCGACGGAAACAACGCGATACATAATGTAACAGCGACAGCGAAAATATGAAACGGGCAAAAACCGGCGCGCAGCGGAGAAACCATTGCTAATTGGCCGACGGAGTCCACTGTTCGCGTATCCTAATTGCGGATTCCGGAACAAGAAACGTGCACACGCTCGGAATAAATCTACCCGGCTCGCGATCGCATCGCTCTCGTCCGCGATACCGTTCCCGCCATTCGATGAAACGGCGCAGCTAGCGATCTTGCGCGCGAACACCTGTTCCTTTCATTTATTTTCGAATCGTTATCGCCAGCTGCATCGCCGCGGATTTTATGCATTCGCGAGCTCGAAGAGATGATCTCGAATGTGATCTCGAAGAGACGGGCCGTCGACCATGGCTCAATATTCACTATTCAAGCATTCGAATACATTTTTCTCATCGACGTCCATTTTCTATTTGCACGCGCGATTTAAAAAGGACGCCATATACAAGGTGACCCAAAATTATTGTCCAAGCGAGAAAGGAAGGGTTCCTGAGATAATTTGAAGTAACTTTTTCCTTATCGAAAATGTTCTACGAGATTTCGTTCGCGAGTTATTGACGAAAAACCGTGGGCCAATGTGAGGCGCGCTCGGCTAGCGCGAGGCGGTCGCGCCAATCAGCGGAACTGGGCTTCGCGCGGACCGCCTCGCGCCAGCCGAGCACGCCTCTCATTGGCCCACGGTTTTTCATCAATAACTCGCAAGCGAAGCCTCGTAGAACATTTCCGAAAAAGCAAAAGTTGCTCCAAATGACCTCAAGAATCATCCCAGCTAATAGCTATTCATTGTTCACATATTTATTATTATATCGTATCTGTTATTACATGTATACATATATCCTAGTGCCGGGAATGTATAATATTATCGAGAGCGAAACAGAGGCACTCACCTTGAAGACCTCGGAGAAGAACCCGGCGCCGATCTTCTCCATGTAGAAGTCGTCGAGTCGGTTCAAGGACGCGACCGCGTGCCTGAGCGCCTGGCAGGATGCCCCGGTCCTCCTTTTGGACCCGGTGTCCTGAAACACGTCCCCGGGGCACACGTTCAAGCTGGTGCACACGTTGCTCTCCATCTCGGTGGGTCGCCAAGGGTCTCTGCACTTTTCCCTGTCCTTGTAAGTCCTGGGCGAGGAGAGCTGTAGCTCGGTCGGCAGGTCCTGCGGCAAGCAGGATATGCAGCTCTGTTGCAGCGCGTCCCCGTTGCACCGCCAGTCCTTCTGCACCGGGGAACCGTCCCTGCAGATCCTGTCGCAGGCAGCGGCGGCCAGGTCCTTCTCTAGGTACACCTTCTTCTGGCAGGAGTCCTGGATAGCGGCCAGCTCGGCGTCCTCGTCGCAGGGCTCGCCGGCTGGCCTGGACGACCTCGAGGTGCCCTTGACCATGGTCGCCAGGGTCTGGGCGACCCTCTGCGGCTCCCTAGAGCCGACTTGCTTCTTCGCCAGCTTCGACGAGGGCTCCCTGGCGTCCGCGCTCAGGCTGCCCAGGCTGCCCGAACACAGCGCCCTCTGCGACTTCGCGGCGCAGCCCGGGGCCTTCGCGAAGCTGGGACAGTTCGGGTTCGATGAGCACTTGTGAATCGCCGGGCTCGGGCAGCTGATCTTCGCCGGCAGCGCGTGGCTCCTCGCGTGGCACTCTTTGCTAGAGAACTTCGAGCAGCTCTTCGAGGTCGTTGCCTCGGCCCTGCAGGGTCTGCCGAGCTCCGCGAACGGGGTCGACGACTGCGCGCAGTTCCCAGGGGGACCGGACTCCTGGGAGCTGGCGGACTTATCGTCGATCGTGGGACTCCTGATCGACTTGTCTTCGGTCAGGTGGGAACACGGCTCGCTCTCCTTCGGCCTCCATACCTTGTTGTCCTCTTTGCCGGCGACGTCCTCCTTTGCCCTTCTGGGCTTCTTGTCTTCCACGGCGGGCGCGTCGTGCACGACGCTGTCCTTGGGTCTCCAGGGCTTCGGTTTGCTCTCGTCGAGCAGGTGTGGCGCCTCGGAGACCACCGGCGCGCAGGTGTCCTTCGGCCTCCAGGGCTTCGGCTTGCCCTCGTCCGCGGCCAGGCTGGCCGCCTCCTCCGACGAGAAACACGGCAGACAGGCGGCCCCCGCGGAGCTCGGGCTGCAGGACTTGCCGGTGCAGGGTGGGCCCGGCGTGTTCGAGGGTGGCACCTTGCCGAACATGTTCGCCGTTATTGCGGGCGGATCTGGCAGGAACGCTGGCAGCTCGCTACCGTCTTCTCGGCCCGCATCACACGACTCCCCGGGACCTCTTCTCCACCGAGGCGACACGGTCTTCCGGGTTAGACCTGCGTGCTCGGCTTCGTGGACGTCGCGGGAACGCTTCGAACGCGGCGGGCTGCGCCCACGGCGCTGATCCTCGGCATCCTTTCAGCGCTTCAACTCGGCGCGCGTGTCCGAGCCCCGTTGCTTGGCAGTGGGATCACGATCCGGAATCGATGGCGGATGGGGCATGGGGCCCGGCGGACGCACTGCGGCAACCGTGCGGCTCACACCACACCGTGGACCTCATGGGGCAGCCACCACGAACCGACTTGGCACATCTCTCGCCTACACTGCCAGCGGCTACCTCGTCTCTTCCTCCAACGTCCTCGAGTCGGCGTCTTCGGAGTCTCTTTCCTGCAAGAAATCTGTGCCCCGGGCGGACCGTGAATAACAATTCGAGCACTCGTCGATGGGTTTTCTAGCTCGTTTGGAGCATTTGGGGGGGGGGGGCTGTGTGTGGCGGCAGCGCGGTGGTATGGGAAAGTATTCGAACGATTATACCATTTGATAAGTTTAAAGCTTCGGTGATAGATTGTTTTGTGGGATCGTGAGAGATCATGCGTGACTCTTGTCTTCGTTTAGGTTCTTTCGAATGAATTTTTCTGAGAGAATTATACGGCAAGTTCTCCCTAATTGATAACTCAGATTGTCCATTTTTATGCGCAATCTAAGCGCGAATTAGAGAGAAATTACTGTATAATCTGAGCGTCAATTAAGGAGAACATGTGACCACTGTAAACAGGTTGTCCCGAAATTATGGCACTTCCGGGAAATGACGGGTTCCTGAGGTTATTTGAAGTAACTGTTTCCTTAGCGAAATTGTTCTACGAGACTTTGTTCACGAGTTATTGGCGAAAAACCGTGGGCCAATGAGAAGCGAGCTCGGCTGGCGCGAGGTGGCCGAGCCAATCAACGGAACAAGGCTCCGCGCGCTCGTTGGCTCGACCGCCTCGCACTAGCTGAGCACGTCTCTAATTGGTCAGTGTTTTTTGTTAATAACTCGTGAACGATGCCTCGAAGAAAATTTTTGTAAAGAAAAAAGTCACTTCAAATGACCTCAGGAATCCCTCATTTCCCATTATTTTGGGACACCCTGTATATTAGTTTCTGTAATCCAAAGGGTATTTCGCCTGCTGTTGAGCATATTCTTGCTTACAGAAGAATAATTTTTCAGAACAATAAACAAAATACACTCGACGGTAAAATTAAAGCGACCCTAATTTTTGACCGAAAATTGTCAATATTTGAGCAGCTGTAGCTCCATTACAAGCTGTCATAAAATTATGAATCTTCTTTTAAATCGAAGCTTGAAACCTCTACTTTGCAACACCGTGTTCGAATTTTTAATATCATGCATTCCCATGATCGCAGTATCCTAAATCTTGGGGCATGCTCGCGACACCAAAAATCGCTACGATTTTTCTGGCAAAGTTGTCGAGCGCAGTTAACTGTTAATAATAATATTAAAAATTATGAAAATCGTTCAATACCGGAAAGTTTTGGTAAGTAAGAATGATTATGTAGCAAGAATTTTTTTTTCTGATAGCGCTGCTAACAGGGCACAGTCTCTCAAAATGTTCCCGAACTTGTGAACGAGAATGGGCAATTTGGAAAGAGATGTGATTATAGATATTATTATAGTAATTATATATTATATATTATAGTATTATATATAGTATTAATTATATATTATATATTATAGTATATAATATACATACATATAATATACATAATATATATAGTCCGTCTTCATTCGTGACGTACAGGCTGCACCGAAATAATCTGACAGATTTTAGATACGAAATTACAAGTTTACAAGTGCTTTCGAATCGTGTCACGTGGCCTCCGAATTGCCTTCGAATCGCGGGAAAAAGAGTAGAAATGAAAAATTTAAGTGATCGTTTTTATTCTAGCATTACAACGTATAATCATTGGGATTGATATCGGTTTTTGATAGATGTCGCCTGCAGCCTAGCGAGCGGTGCGGACCGTAACCTATACAATGCGGTATTCGCTACAGCAGCAGCAACAGTTTCGTGGATGTATCGCAGTAATTGAAGCCGAGCGAGGATAATACGTGCGGAGAGAAATTGTTCAAAACGATATCTGAAGCTTAAGTATACTAAATCTAATCTAGGTCACACCCGAGCCAAACCTAACCTGTACTTAGAACGTTCGTGTCGTTTTAGAAACGTTATCAGTTGACTTTTAGTCTGCTAATAGACTGATTAGTTATCAGTAGATTCTTCTGCGAAATATCAAATCGCAACGAGTTGATAATGCGACAATATTATCAATTCGTTCAAATGTTTTAATTACTCTGCATTTGATCTGCATATTCTCGTCATATATAAATAAAATCTGTGATCTAGTTATAACTCAGGTTAAGTCTGTATTAAGTCTGAATTAAATTCTCGGTTATCCACAGGTTTAAGCTAATACAGTAATTTCTCCCGGAAGTGCCGAATTTCGGGTTGCTGTGAATTTTCCTGTGCTAGTGCTGCGCCTATGTAGTTTATTGCTACGTCGGTGCCAAGGGTCGACGGAGTCGGTCCAAGTTATGATGCCGCTGTCTCTTTTTACCTGCTGCCTTTTTTTGCCAGCTGCCTCGAGTTCCCATAAAAACAAGCAGCGAGGCCCGAAGAATCGCGACTTATTATTCTCAAATATCATCCTCCGAGCATTTTTAGGAGAAATTACTGTATCTCGGAAACTGTGGCCTCGCGATGGTAAAATATGCAGTTGAAAGTTGTCCAGAATGCTGACCTTGACCACGCATTTCATTTCCTCCAAAATAATTCAGTCGTTTGTTTGTAATTCGGAGAACAGCGCGGACGTTTGTCCTAAAAGATATTCCAACTATCGCAACTGGCTCGTTATTGTCGCGGATCCCTTCAATCGCGGAACGTTTCATGGGATCGGATTAAACCCTGCGGCACGACACCGTCACGCTGCATCGACCTAACCCATATCCGCCGCGCAACCGATGCAACCCACACCTAATACACAATATTAAAGCCGCGTTAATATAGCATATTGAGCTAATCTATATCTATCCTACTTACTGCGCTGTCAATATATATATACACATATAATACTACGAACACCTGACCCGCGTCTAATCCGTGCTCGCTTTGACCTATCCGGGTACGCGTACGGTCCGCTGCAGAACTTCGGTTCACAACGGCTCTGTGGCCAGGCCAGATCATCATTGAAAAAATATCCGGGTCCGATATAGCCGGCCAAGCACCCGTAACTAACGCGGACTCATTGATTCCTCTGCCTAACGACCCCGTCGTGTACATAATCCCTTGCCTCGCTGAAGACTAAACCCGCGGACATCCGTTCTGCGATTATTTCACGTTGCAATTTCCAATGTTCAGTGGTGTCGCTTTGACAATTGTGAAAATGGACTACTCTTTGTCGATTTTTGTTTCAACGCCGAGGGATAGTTTGGGAGAGTTTACTTACACCGGAGGCTTCAGATAGAAGTTGCACGGCTTCCAGGGGCACATGCAATATTGCCATCAGTTTTATGTTATTTTGCTTTCTTATCAAGATGCGAAGGTCACCTTTAATATTTTTAAATCGAATTGTTAATATTTCTTCCCGAATTCGGATAAAGCGTTGAATTCTACAGAAAAAAAGTATCACACCAAATATATAATATAAAGTAGTATTATTATTCTATATTTTATATTTTATATTCTATATATACTATATTTTATATTTTATATATTCTATATTTTTTTTTCTTTCCTAGCTTAACCTGCTAAGGTTATTAACGACACCCTATATTTTATATTCTCTATTCTACATATTAAATTTTACATTTTATATTTTATATTCTATATTTTATACTATATTATATACTATTGTTATTGTATTAATAATATATATACATATAATATATATAATAAATAATACACCGTTCTGCGTTTCACTTATGAGAAAATAATTGCATCATATTTTATACCCTAAATCCTAGTAAGACCTATAGGACGCGAGGCCCCATGGCAGAGCCTGTGATCTCTGTTCAAAGATGCTTCATTCGACGAGTCGAAGAGAAAAATCCGAGGATCGCGGTGCGAAATTGGCCGATTCGCTACGATCGCTAGGGTCGTTCGAGGCTCGTAAAGAGAAACCAAAGGATTTACGACACTGGCTCGCACGTCCGACGCAACCGAGGCACAAACAATTGGAAATGTTGGCGCTAATCGTGCCGCGTGTATCGCGTAATAATATGCCAAATTCCTGGCCAAAGGAATGCAGACGGATTCGTTAAATAACCCTGACGCAGGTGCCTAGCTTGTTCCTCGAACGTTGCCGCGGCTTCGCACGCGCGCGCGCAAGCCGATTTGATTTACAAAGCAGCGCTACTTCTTTCGCGAGAAACCACTGTGATCGTTTTCGCACGCCGGAGACGCGATCCGTCCGCAATTACACCGCGCAAATCACGTGAACGTCCGTGTCCAATCGGCCGCCGTCGGTTTCCAGCCGAACCGTTGCTATTAGTGACCGTTTACATTGAAAATGCAATTTTGCAAACCAGTTGGCGAATCGCCAACGAAACTCATTTATCGCAACGTTACATTTGATTACATCGGTATTAATAAAATTTCGCAGCTCACCGTTCGGGCTACGTCTGCGCCAAATGGTTTCCGAATTTTCTGGTGAAATCTACTTTTGTGTTGCACGACATTGTAATCGTTACGTAAGATATTTAGAACTCAATGAAATTCGATAACAGTTGCACTCTCTCGATTTACCGTTTATTTTTCGCGCCAGACCGGTTTCGCAATTCATCGTCAACATTTCGAGGTTATAGTCACGTTTGTCAGTTTTATCTCGTGCAAAATTTACGGCGAACTGTAATCGATGTATAAAATGTACAAAATTGTATTTATGCGTGCTCGACTCAGTTGTTGTTCCTGACGACTCCTTGTTTATTTTCCGAGCCAATCGTGTTCCAGGTTTACGTTAATTTTCACTTGTACGAAATATTAAAAAAAAAAAAATAATTGAAATAATTACACAAAATATCGCAAACAGTATGAAATTTGATTCCACGTCATTTCTGCTCTCGATTTTCCGTTTACTTTTCGCGTCGAACGGGTTTCGCAATTCATCGGTCAACATTTCGAGGTTATGGTCGCATTCTGCCAGTTTCATCTCGTGCAAAATTGATGGCAAACTGTGAAGCTGTTACGTAAAATGCAGTAGATCGTATACAATCTTACTCGACTCTATTGTCGTTACTAACATCGATTTACTTTTCGAGACAATCGTGTTTCTCTTCCTGTTAACGGGGCTCGCAATTAAATTCCGACTCGGTGTCGGTTTCACCGAACGGGAGAGCGGCAACCGAATACAAACTGAATTAAATCGCGCATAAAGCTTGTGGCTATCACGCTTTCGGATTTATTTCGTGAAACTGATTCGCCGGAGGCGACCGGCACGCCATCTGTCTCGGGCTGAACCGGAAGCGGGGTGGTCCCCCGGCGGCGGCAAGAGTACAAGTAGAAATCGCAGAACAAAAATTGTTTCGAACGTGGCTTCGTTAGATCGGACTTGGTATTCATAAGGCGAGCGAATAATTAAATAGGACTCGGTTCACGCGCCTGCTAATTAGATACCGATTCCACTTAATGCAATTACGAGTGCATGAGAATCAGAGAAACTCGGCGTGTCCATTTTTCTTGCCAACCGAGCCACACAAATACACACACACGCGCGCGCGCGCGTAGCTCGGCGAATTTTTGTTATTACTTTCGGCATGCAGCTTTTCTTGTAAAATATTTCAGACTCGTCTACACACTCTATATACGTCGAAGTACGGCGAAAATAATGCGAAGGAAAAAAGGAAAGATTACCACGTAACTGCACATTCGGTGCTCGTTCGAAGCTTTCAGACCGTGTCTTCTAAGAGATTCTAATTCTAGTCTTTAACAATTTTAATTGCTTAATCGTGGAGCCGTTGATTCAACGATGAGCACATTTATTAAGTATAATTAATAAACAAACGGATAAATATTAAGTAATTGACTGTAGACGCAGCTTTATAGGTTGCTCAATTATTTAATAAAATTTTGGCGCGATTGAACGATAGCGAACGGTGCTGTTAAACAAAATATTTCATTCAAATATATTCATCGACTCGAATTAGGTACAGTCAGTCAAGGACTCGACAAAAGTGTGCGAACACTAAATTTACCGTTTCACAAAAATTTCTTATATTTTAACTATTATAATTTTCCTTCATAGACCATTATAATTTCTACCAATGAATTATGATAATTTCATTAAATATTTCGTTAAATAAACTATGATAATTTCATCGTGCTTTTTCTTTGTCAAATCTTTTTTAATTGCAAATGAATCGCAAATGAATTGCAAAAGTAGAGGCATTAAAACGGGGATGAAAGGTTATGTCAACATTTCGACAGATTCTATGTAAAATAGGATCGTAGCACTGTTTTGAAGCACCTCCTCGTACGATATGTACCGATACGTTCGCTATTTTTTTTTATGTTCCCAAATGTGCATTATCTTTTCGAAAAAACCATGCAAGAATCGTTCTCTCATCAGAAATCAAGAGAGGCTGAAGCTTACACCGCCGCAGCTACTTTTATTCTAACGGTGGCCGAAAGGCATGCCGAACACCACCGGATTGTTTCACCAGAGAGGGAAACCGTCCCCATCGAATGTCACGATTCTTAATCGTGTCCCAGTTCTGACAGCTCAACATTACCGACTACTCGTAATCGCGGCCACTTGACGAGCCGAGCGGCACTCAGCCGCACTAACGATCCCACGTTTATAAAACCGGGAGAGCAAAACAACCGGCCGAGGAGCAAAGCTGATCCTAGCCACAACAAACCAGGGATTCGTTCGATCACTGCCACTGCACAGTGGCCCGGGAATTCGCTTTTCGTCGCTCGAATTATTTCGGCGTTGTTTCAAGGTTTAAGGTTATGGTGCAGTAGCTCGTCGAATTCGTCTCGACACCAGCTAGAATATTATCCAGTCAAAAGTATGTACTAAGATTTAAAATATCCTCTTTTTTTTACAAAGAACGAGATTAAGTTAAAGTTTAAATTGCTAAAACTCGTCTCAGCAAAATTTCAACTTTGTAACTTGACCGTTAGGATAGGGTAAATTAGACTGCGCGCACTTTCGCCCGTTTCCCCCTGTTCTGTGGTATCCTAAAATTTTAAAAAGATATCTGGCCTATTTCGGACAGCCTGCCGCATATTGTAGAATTTTTTCAGATTTTTCGGTACGCGATAGAAACAGAATGGAAAATTGTTCACAGATGTGTTTTTCTTGATCAGCGGCATCGTACGGTATAATGGTCATTGAGAAACCTCTGAGGGCAATTTTAATCGTCTCTCCGTTTATTCGAACATGAAAAATAGAATTCATGTCACGAGTGATCGTTACCCGGGCCACCGTGCGCCGGTACGGCACGGCAGGCAGGCAGAAGAAGCTCGCGTTTAGGTTAGGTCACGCTACGATTCCCGAGGCGATGCAACAACCCTCGGCTGACAACGGCTGAGGAACGGCCAGCCAACCGAGGCGTGAAACAATAATGCGCAAAGAATGCAAAGCGCTTCCTCGAATGGTGCAGTCGCCGGCGCGCTGGACGTGGAAACACGAAAACCGCGATAGAAAGTTCGATGCACCGCGGCGAGAGAGACTGGCTCGCGGAAAAACAATATCGAAGACGCACGTACCGAATCTATAGTTACGTGTCCCCTTGTTGTTCCGCCCGGGTTCGACCGGTTCGCATGGCACCGTTCCCGGCTGTCGCACGGCGACTCGCCTACACGATGCACGAAAATTTGTCAACTTTCGGATCCGAACAATTAACTGGGAATGCCGTTCGGAGAATTGTCTGCAGCTGAGACTTTATGCGTTCGTGACAATAATGAGCGGACAAAGTACAGTGTTTTGGCGGACGTATGAACAGTTTTTAATTTAGGATCTAAACAATTAGCTAAGAATACACGTTTTGCCCGTAAATCTTTTTGTACTGTGCATTAGTACTGTTCTTAGCGCTATTTTTACTCCATCTACAACAACTCTAACACTGCAGTAGCACGCATAACGTAACAAATTTTGACAGCAAAAAAGCACAGAACGTACTATAACGACAAAATAAGTGGACGAAACTGCTGGAAAACACGCCATTCGCAATGTCATGCGGCAAACTAAATTAACCCGGCAGTACACACGCGAACTTCTAAAACGAAGGTGCCACGTGGGTTGCTTGTGCACCCCTGATAAGAAGTGACACTTATTGATAACAACAATAAATGAATATCCACGTACATTTCGTCTTTTTATTATAATTAACGTTAATATAATTCATTCAATAAAAATACGAGGAGACAAGGCTTCCCATTGGACCCCCCACGTGTGTACCGCCGCGTCAACAGTGTCCTCACTTCGCTTAGGACAATTCCGACAACAAAAAAGAACCGAATGCACTAAAACCAGAAAATAAATGGATGAAACCGCTGGAAACGCCCGACAAACAAAATCAGTCAGTTCAGGGTCGGTTCAGAACAATTCTAATAAAACTGCAGCGAAACATGCCATGCTATATCTCCGAACGCAAGTGCGGAGCGTTTGTACGTTATGGGTCGGCCATGACCCAGACACGAGTGTTCAGGGCCCACCATAACAGGCTAGCGAAAGAAAACAATACTGCACGACCAGGCGGTAATGATTTTTGTGCGTGGGAGAGAAGAAGCGTGCTGGGCGTCTAAGGGTAGTTGTAAACAGGAAAAAGCGCGGTTCACGCGTGGTGGTTTAGAAGTCGAGAAACCATGAACTAAATTAATAATATAATAATGTTAGAGATTTTCCGATTTTTATACTAATATTTTTTTCGAAAATGCAAGAATCTACCCTCGTTTTTTTAATTTCTATCAAATAGAATTTGCACGATTATTGCTTTTCAACTTCCAAATTCGCTATTTTTGGTGCTCATCCTATTTTGCTTACATGAACGTCTAAAAATATATATGTACACGAATATATAAAATTATATATAATATATCTTGCGACATAGTACATTTATATTGCAAAAATTGCAGCCTCCCTACATTAAATTTCAGTATCTGTTGGCGGAATTTAAGAAATCTAATAAATCTTTGTCTATATTATTCTATTTCTGGTGAATTTGTGCAAAAGAACTTAAGTTAGGATCCAAACTTAGCGACAGCCATCAAAACAGATTTTCATTGGTTTTTTACTCTTCAACACATCCGTGTGTGGTGTGCTTCTTGAAATATTTTATAATTTTTTCGCTTGCATTTCAGTATCGAAACTGGAATATGATACCAATCGCACGATTTCATGTATTTTTCAGCAGCTGTCAAACAGTATCGTCTGAATTGCTCTCTGTTTACTACCCCCAAAGTCATCCTAAATCCTCTTACAATATCTTGATCCGTGTCCGCGACGCATCGTTTCGACCCGAAGCGATGTCCCGAAGCTTCGACTATACGTACATTATTCTAACTTCCGCAACTGCGAAAAATTCTTGCCCAACTACGTTCAATAGGTCATAAAGAATACATTGCGACAAGTCTCATCGTGGCTTCGCGTGACTTCCGTTTCGCTAGCTAAAGCATCAAGAACTAAGCATTCGGGACAACTCACTTTTCGAAGAGTTTAAATATGTCTATTGCTTGGTATTTCATTTTCAGCTGAAAGAATGCTTTTTTAACAATGCATTTCACAGATGCAACCGTGTGCCCTAGTCGCGAAAAAATATAACGGAGCATTATAATGATTTATTTACCGTTATGCAAACAAATCTAAAAAGTTATCAATTTAACAAAATTCCACGACGAGACTAACGCTTTCGTAACGGGGTTGTAGAGCATCGAAAACTGCACAATTCATCCCTGAAAAGCTTTGTCCAATCTTTCAGCGTTGCGAAGCTATGCAGCAAAAATGCAAACTCTCTGGGGGTTGATTTCACCCCCTTAAAGTGAAACTTAGCACGAAATAGTTTCGTGTTACTTGGGGACCTATACTACTCATGTACCAAGTCTCGGAGCTTTCGGATTTGTTGTGTTAGCAAGCTACCCTTGTTTGGTCTTCGAGAATCTGCGAGCAACAATTCGTTCGCTTGCAAGAAGCTCGAAAACGAAAGCTGATTTCGGAGTTCTAAACCACCGTGTGACGTCGGCTGTCAGTGCGGATGCTCCGGCGGTAGCATACATATACACACACACACACATGCACACACACAACATGTTCGATCGGGAGTGCGGCGTGCAACTTACTGGGAGGCACGCTGGCAGCGTGGACGGTTCTCGGATGGTTTTAGAAGACCTTGAACCACGGCGGAGGGAATTCGGATCGGACTTGTTGACGAGCAACAGCACAACGTCAAACACCGTCGACAGGCCCGTCCAGAACGGGAGGCATGACCGAGAGAACCGTGGCGTCCGCGCACGCTGTCACTTTTGTTTACTGTCTCGGGAACACACAGGGGGATCTACTCGCACGGATCCCGCGAGGATCCCGTGTATTCGTTTCTCCTCTTGCACCCGCCTCGTCGTTCGGTTCTTGTCGAGCCTTGTAAACCCGCTCAGGACGAAACCGGACGATCGAACGGAGCGGCGTAACACCGCCGCGATTTTCACCGTTTTTGAATCCACGGATCGTTCCGACACACAGGCAAGCCGCTGTTACACACTGATACTATTACCCGGCCACCAACGTTAACACTGTGCACAACGGGTTCACCGACACCTATCCACGTCGCACCGGGTTCCTCGGCACTGTCGGGGCTTGTCCGTGGACGATGGAAAACGAACGATCCGGTGCTATGGTCTCGCGAGAATCAGAAACGGACCGAGTCACCGACAACGCCAGACGGGCGGCCATTACAGGAATGAACTGGCCCGACGCACGCCGTCTACCGGCGACGGTGCACGACGCCTCGCGACGCTTACCCCCACCAGCGCACCTGCAGCAGCTGCTGCTGCTGCTGCTGCTGCTGTTGTTGCGACGTTGCGAGGGAATCGAACGTGAGGGCTTTGTGCGCGAAACTATTTAAATCTTGATGATCCTGTTATACTACCCCGCGACAATATAATAGGAGCCACCCCGACGCTGTTTCTCCAGTCACCGAAAACCAGAAATACCATTGTCGACCACTTTACGGTGCCCGTATATTCCCATAAAGTCACCTGATGTTTTCAAACGAAGTTTGATTCATTCGATCAACTTCGAATATTTCGAATATTCTCGGTAATTAAAAGAACGTTTTAGTAGCTTCGAATCTCATCAACACTAGTACCACCGAGCCCTAAACGCGACTAATGTATATCGTTTCGCAACGACGTCGTGTGATTTATAATTATAATATGTACTTCGTTGAGAAGAAGCGTATCGAAGAATTTGTCCTGGAAACATTTTTACATTATCGGGAACCGTGAAAGAAAAAGATCGGAAACTAATTCGATCGACGTTACGATATTCGTTGATTAAATCGAATTCAATCGAACGCGAGCGATGCCCCGTTAAAATGAATTACGACAATTTTACGATTATCGACACCGGTTTAATTAAACACGAAGAATCTCTCGGAAACGTAATCTTTCGCAGCGCAGTAATTTAATATCGTAATGATCCGGTAATTAAAATAATAGCCGAATGCGCCGGGACTTCGTAGTGGCTTCGGTTTAATTAAATCTGAACCATCGATCAGAGCAAATCGAATAGATCTCGGTCGACTGAATCCGGCGACCTTTCGCCGGCAACCGAATGCGCCGGCTGCATTGATAAGGATTTCGATTGCGGCATCGGAGCGGCCGTTTGACGTCACCGCGGGCATCCCATTCTTTTCAGCGAGACCCGGCTTGAAATTTTCGACGGTAGACAGTGAAAGGCGCATAGTTGCGAAGAGGATTCTCACACTTTCATTCCGTCCGGTATGGAAAGAAAAAAGAGCGGTTGTTCAGCGGCACGGATGATGAGAAGATGGTAGTTAAGGTCGGAATGGAAATTCACATGAATTATTTCGCCCGCAGTGAAACCGCCGTGTTCCGCGGATTTTTCATTCAGCAAATGATACGAATTTCTCCACGCCTATTCTCACGGTGTTACTTTCGTGGTAACGATTGTTCTTGCGCCGAATTTAATGGACGCGTTCCACGCGCCGAATCCAACGTAAGAATGCGGCTCGTTGTCCTTTCACGGTTACCGGCGAAAACGATTCCATCGAGCAAATTCCGTACAGAACTGCGTTAACCGCTCGTCGCCGAACTACCCATTTTCATGCGAATGCGCGATGAGAAGTACCAAATTCGTCAATCATTATCAATGGTGGTCTGGAATGTGCTGCAGAGTGGTGGAGGGGGAACCGGAACGTGCTGGCGACGATGCCATTGGAAATTGCCGTTGAAATTCATTGGCATCTCCAATCCCATTCTTTTTTATTCATTTATATATACTAATAATAATAACTTTATTTATCGACTTTATTTATTCATCCCCTCCACCACTCTGCAGCAGATTCCAAACCACCGCTGATCATTGTTTATCGCGATCCACCGGTGTCTGTCGAGCACGAGGTAGCCCGATGATCAGTTGACTATCTTCAGTGTGCTTATGTCAGGTTAGGTCAGGGTTAGGCGCGCATATGTAGGTAGGGGTTCCTATAAGCGCCGGACGCAAACGTCTGGACATATTGGTTGCAATCAGTAATGGTGAAATAAGAGAAAATCAAAATTTACCTAAAGAAAGCTGTTTGTAATCGAAATCGTAACAAAAAAGTTGTTTATAATTTTTTTATAAAATTGTAGGCGAATATGGAAAATGACAGATGCAATTTTAAAAATTCCATGAAATCCTGGTACTACCGCAAGAAAAATTACAGCGGAATCTAGAAGGAATATTAAAATACGTAATGTGCAATATATCGCGAAAGAATGTAAATACGTAGAACGCAAAAAATTAATGCATAAACCATTAGTGACAAATCCTCAGAAACAGGCGATTAACTCGTTTATAAATTGCTGAGGAAGAAATGGCGATGAATTATTCTTCGCGATGAGTAGACATTTATATTAATGCGTTGAAATGATAATGATTATGATAAATCTGATAGTTATAATTATTATTTCCGTGATTTAAGCTCGTGAACCTATCGATTCTTATTATTGTAGCGTAGATAAATCATAAACGCCATTCTCGTTCATCAAATATACGCGCCTTATGTATTATGTAATTGCCGTTAATTATGAATTAACTCGTAACTGAAATGGAGTATACAGAATACTCGATTCTTACTAATAAGTGTAAATTAGTGAACTGTCGGTAACGCAGCGCGCTACATCGAAATAGTACTGGGGCTTCCGGAGTCTAAAAAATTCGAGGCAAAAAAATATTATATTGTGTTTCAAGTCATTGTTACTCTCAGAACTTGTTTGCGAGTAGGTCCATTCTTATATCTTCTTTGTGATTTAACTGTAGCAGCTTGAGCGTTTAAAAATGATAATGGTGGCGCCATCTCTGATTGCACAATTTAACACTACTAACTTTAACTATTATCATGAAGAATAATAGTGTTCTCATGGAAAAAATGTATGTAATGAAAGTTCCAAGAAAACAAGTTACTTTAGAATACATGTTAGAAAAAGTTTTACGATGTAAATAGAACTACAACTACTGAAAAAAACATGAAAGTCGTAATTATACGTAATTATACATTTTTCTTTACAACTTGAATTTAGGAGAGGAGGAGGAAAAAAGTCATAAATTATAACATTCTTAACTTTAAACTAAACGAATTTGTCCTGAAACATTTATTCGTATCAGCAAAAGTAACGAAAATATTAGTTGTTACATGATTTAATTTGACAAGTAAAATATTTTCTAAATCTGTGGAATTTAGATTAAACTTATCGTTGTTTAGTATAAATTTCAGTGTGAAAATTGCACGTTCAACGATAGCTTGTGTAACAGAAGTGCTACGAATAATATTTTCCATCTTTTAAAGATATGGAAACAAGCATCTTTTTCTTCCCAATAATCTAATTAAATTACTTACTCATTTTTTATTTATATTCTGCAATTTCTCTAAAATTAATAGAATTTTATAAATTTGTGCAAGTTAATAATAATTTATGAAATTATTATCTGAATGTTCTACATCTGAATAAAGCAGCATTCAAATTTAAATTTACCACCAAGTCCATGACAAGATCGGTTTAAACCTATCTTCACAATTCATCGCAGTCGCCGCGTGTGCATAGCACGTGAAAGATCGTAGAGTTGATTTTGTTTTTGTGATAAGTGTTTATAAACATATTCTCTAATCTTTAAAACCTAGTGGAAGGGCTTTAGTAAAATGGCGAAGTTTTGTTTGAGTAAGTACTTTAATTTCGTCATTTGAATTTAACTTTTTTGCGTGATACGAATATATTAGGTTATGTTTGTTTCAAATTACCTGATAGTAGACGGCTTGGTTCTTATTTACATGTATCTTTCGATTAATTCAATATTCTATTTGTTACAGAAAAGCAGAGCAAGCGTATGCCAGCTCGTAAGAGATATAAAATCGAGAAGAAAGTTCGTGAACACAACCGGAAGCTGCGAAGGGAGGCTAAGAAGCATCCAAAAAGTAACTATGCTATATTATAAAGAACCTTACTAAGTTTTCGTTTTTAATTTTAAAGCGCATTTTGTTATTTTTTCCTTCAACACAAGAGTAAAAATGTCCCTATTAAAATCACCTATCATAATTACCATACCATTGTTGAAAAGTTTAACAGTGGTTGTTAGTGACCACCACATCAATCGGTGTCTTAAAAGATCTCTGCCACGTTAGTCAATGTGTCAAAATTTTGCGTATGCTTAATCATTTTTAAAATGTCAGAAATTATTTAATTAATTGTTTAATTATTTCACAGGAAAGAAGAAGGTAATAGAAATTCCGAACCAATGTCCTTTCAAAGAAGACATTCTAAAGGATGTGGAGGCTATGAAAAAGCAGCACGAAGAAGAAAAAAAGAAGCAACGTGAAGATGCACGTGAGAAAAAGCGTCAAGAGCTTGCTAAAGGAGGTCTTCAGGGCTTAGTATCCAATGTGGAAACCAAACAAGCGGTGCATCAAGAGATGGAAGTCAATCATGTTCATGAAAAGATCAAGGTTGCCTTGACCAAGCAAGAAAACTCTCTGAAAGCTTATTACAAGGAGTTCAAGAAGGTCATAGATGCGGCTGATGTTATTCTCGAAGTCGTCGATGCCAGAGATCCTCTGGGTACCAGGTGCAAGGAGGTAAAATTAAATTCATCGCTTTAGTTAGATAATATTTTACCTAACAGTAATCCGGCCAATCTTGTTTCCCTCTAACTTCATTTCCACTTTTAACCCTTTTGCTACGGGCGGGTTCTCCGCCGCGGTATTTCCGCTGAACGGAGCGCTGCGACATCACTGCATGCTACGCGACGCCTATCGTCAGCGAGAGTTGGTACTCCGCGGTCGGCGGAGAACCCAAGCTGCTTGAATGTTTTCGAACGAAAAAATTTTTCTCCAAGGGTATTTATAAGAGTATTTATAAATAAAGGGTATTCCAGGGTATTTATAACGTCTTAGCATGCGATCTTTAATTTACAGTATGAGAGGAAATAACATTATGCAATATAATGCATCTTATAAAGGGCCACTATAGTGGCCCATAGTACCTCAGTGGCATCATATGGAAAGCCACTATAGTGGTCTGTAGTACCTCAGTGGCATTATATGGAAGGCCACTATAGTGGTCTGTAGTAGCGAAAGGGTCAAATCTTGCAATTAAGTTTCTTTCTTTTTCCTTCATTCTACCCTGCAAATATTTCAACCCATCTTCCANTAACCCTTTCGCTACGGGCGGGTTCTCCACCGCGGTACTTCCGCTGAACGGAGCGCCGCGACATCACGCCACGCTACGCGACGCCGATCGTCAGCGGGAGTACCGCGGCGGAGAACCCAAGCTGCTTGAATGTTTTCGAACGAAAAAATTTTTCTCCAAGGGTATTTATAAGAGTATTTATAAATAAAGGGTATTCCAGGGTATTTATAACGTCTTAGCATGCGATCTTTAATTTACAGTATGAGAGGAAATAACATTATGCAATATAATGCATCTTATAAAGGGCCACTATAGTGGCCCATAGTACCTCAGTGGCATCATATGGAAAGCCACTATAGTGGTCTGTAGTACCTCAGTGGCATTATATGGAAGGCCACTATAGTGGTCTGTAGTAGCGAAAGGGTCAAATCTTGCAATTAAGTTTCTTTCTTTTTCCTTCATTCTACCCTGCAAATATTTCAACCCATCTTCCACTTCAATTTTCTAGTATATCACATTATATTTCATTTTCTCTTACTCTTGTCATGGAATATCTGTATAAATAAGCGAATGGAATACACAGCAGAATGCATTTTCGGTAGTTAAAGTGTTATTTTGTATCACTCGCAGGTCGAAGAAGCGGTGCAATCAGCTAAAGGGAATAAACGATTGGTAATTGTCCTGAACAAGGCTGATTTAATACCCAGGGAGAATTTAGATCAATGGCTTAAATATTTGCGCGGTAGTTTACCCGCTGTAGCCTTCAAATCGTCCACGCAATCTCAGGCGAGAAGACTGGGCAGAAGAAAGTTAGGGAAAAAGACGGAGGCCATGATACAGGGCGGTACATGTTTTGGCGCAGAACTGCTTCTATCTTTGCTGGCGAATTATTGCAGGAACATTGGCAATGTGAAGACCAGTATTAGGGTGGGGGTAGTCGGGCTTCCAAACGTTGGAAAATCAAGCGTGATAAATTCTTTGAAGCGCAGCAGAGCTTGCAGCGTGGGAAGCACACCCGGTATGTTTAAAATTATTTTATTATATATTAATATTATAAATTATATATATATAATAATAATGTTTAATTTATATATATGCGTATACCAATTAAAGAGTAATAATGATTAACAATCGCTCGAATTGTGTTTCTCGGGTTACAGGAATAACGAAAACTATGCAAGCGGTGCAGTTGGACTCGAAAATAAAATTGTTAGACTCTCCAGGAATAGTATTCGCCAGTCAAGGAAACAATCCGGACAAATCTTTGGTTGCTCTGAAGAACGCGGTGCTGATCCAATCGTTGAAGGACCCGCACACTCCTGCTGCTGCAGTTATAAAGAGAGTCTCGAAGCCGCAAATCATGGAGATGTACGATCTACCAGAATTTTCGACGCCCGATGAATTCTTCGCGCTGAAAGCGATCAGAATGGGAAAGTTTAAAAAAGGTGGGATACCGGACACCACGGCTGCTGCTCGCTGCGTCCTTCAGGATTGGAACTCCGGCAAAATTAGGTGAGAATACATTCTGGTTTATCACTTTATATTTAATACTGAACCTACCGGGTACTAAAAGCCGACGACACATGTCGCTCTATAAGAATTGAGATTTATTGTCATACATTTGTTTCAACGTTTTCTCATTTTCATTGTAATATAAGGTTCGCAAGTATCTAATTTGTTAATTTGTTTGTTCTTGTTAAGGTACTACACTGTACCGCCCGAGCAGCCAGTCTGTCACATATCAGCGGAGATCGTCAGTCAAATCAGCAAGGAATTCGAGATCGAAAATTTCGCGGCGGAAGAGAAAATGATGCTTGATAACTACGAAGAGCAGGCCACCAAGACCTCCACTCTGGATCCAGTGTTGATCGAGAGTTCCGGGCCGGTGGTGTCCTTGATGGAGGTCGAGAAGCAAAAGGAAGAGGTAAGTTCATCGAGTCTTTTAAAAATTACGGTCCTAATCGAATAATAAACGTATATTCTTGCAGAAAATTAAAATACAAAAGAAGTTGAAGAAGAAGATGGAGAACGCGAAGAAGCACGCCAATGATTCTTCAAGGAAAAAGAAAACGGACCCGCTATTCGACATCGAGGGCAACCAGAAGTTGAATAAAATGAGCAAGAAGGCATTCAAGAAGGAGAAGAAGGAACGAGTTAGGCGAGGTGCGTGTTCATGGGAAAATTTTCTTTAGGGAGCAGAAGTATCATTCATAATTTTGGGGCCTGTTCCGTTACAGAAAAGGTAGCTGTACAGCTGTCGGGTCAGTTGGAGGGATTCAACATCTCCGCCCCTGACGACTATAATTTTAGCACGGACTTCGTCGAGAAGGAATAGGTAAATGAATTTCTTCTAGACGTAATCAAAACGTGTTGCAGATACATTTGTACGTATAATGTAAATAAAAGAATATGTGTGTAACGAAGGTGATTGTTTTTATACAAACAATTGTTTACCTTCATTGACACGATAATCCAGATGACGCAAGCAATTATTTTAATGGCGCCCGTGTACCTTGCGCAAGCATACATGCGCGATACGGTGGCACTCATGAGATAAAGCATTTTTAGAAATACATGATTCATATAAGCAAATAAATGTTATCACTCATCGTGATGCGAATTTTTCCTGAAAAAACCACCAAGCTCTACCGTTCGCGATGTCCTCGCGTTTTTTTTTTCAATAATATGCAAGTCAATGTTTTTACCCGACGCGTTTCATTCTTGTGTTTCTTTCTTATCGGTCGTAGATTAGGCAACGATACCATCGACGTCCGCTCCTATGCACAGATACCATAGCACTCCAGAAAATCTTCAAACGGTAGGATTCAACGAATTAATGCAGTTTATCATCAGATAAGACGAACTTAGCGAGATTCCCCTGCGATCGATAGAGTTAGAATCTTCTTCAGATAAGATGTGTGTGACTTCTTAAAAGAAATAATAAAAACCTAATCTACGTTTACAACATTCGCAAAGTTTATGGTTTTGGAGTTTCTGTTAGGTCCTGGTTAGCAGACTCTGTGGCTTACCAGCATAGAAAAAAAGAGATCTCGTGTACGCGAGATAAATTGCCGACGCCTTTAGCAGTGTCTACAAAATGATTTAAAAATGATTTTAAAAAATTGATCCGAACCATTTGTTACGCAGTTATTGTAGTAAGATGGAAGATGTTGCGAAGAAGAAGCAATTGTAGCCGTGGAAAGCTGTGTTCGTCGAGAACACACGGATGTTGCGAACGTTGCGGATTATAGATCAGGAGAATATTTTCGACCAGCCAAAAAATAACAAATGTGCAAAAAGGTGTCAATATTCCTAGCCACGTCTTCGACTGCGACAGCAGTTTATAATTTTCGAGTTTAAGTTAGGTCTAAATAATTTATCTTTTTAAAATAAATGATATAGAGACAAGGGGAATTCTGGTCTAGAACCTTCAAAGAATTGTTCTTTTATTTCATTTTGTGAATCTATATCAGGGCAATTAAGAAGTTAGAACAGTGGCTGTTGGAATAGTTCGATCGGAAACATAGGTATAACATGGCCCGCATAGGTCATAAAAAGGGATTAAAACACATCCTTATGCAAGCAGATCGACAGAAGAGGAGGAAATTCAGGTCCCTCTTATTTGAACAAGAGGAAGGTTCAAAAGAACCTTTTCTCCCAGCCCCTTGCACTCTGTTGTCCCCTCTGAAGGGGAGTCTAACATACCATTCGAAGTTCATTAGTGATTACTATACAGCGGATGTTTATGCAAATGCATATTTTTATAACTTTATCCCATAGATAAAGTTATAGGACCTAGACAGAAATTTGTTTCATCATCGAAGGATCCGGAAAATATAGTTTTTATTTTGAATATTTGCATTTTGCATATATGTTGTATACATGCATTTAGAAACAGTGTGTGGGTGTTGTTTAATACAACATTTAGAAACAGGAGTGCACAGGAGAAATGTGGAACGGAATAAAAATATTATTAATAGTACGAATAGTCGTATATAACAACGAATGGGGCACATTCTTCAAGAAAAAGTTATTTTATATTGAAATATGTCAAGCTGTGATGGCGATTAATATGCCATGGAAATGGTTGAATAATAAAGTGTGGAGAGATTTTAAGAAATATATATATAAATCAAGATATAATTTGTTATAATTGCTATAATTTGGCCGTTGAAAAAATTCGGGAAAGATATTGGCGACAGTTACGTATGGATTTCAGTGGATGAGATGACAAATATGACTGGTGGTTGTATAGCAAACTTAATTGTAGGCAAATTATGCGAGAATGAAACTCAGCCACATTTGTTAGCCTATGAGTTGTTACCTGAAACAAATTATGCAACTATTACGGCATAAATGTTGAAAGCCGAAAGAAATTGAGATATTTTATCCAAATATGTTACATGCGACGTGTTTTTAGTGCATAGTATAAATAGAATTGCGGAGAAAATCCGAGAGCAGTTCCCAGCAGTTAATAAATTAATATTATCCGTAAAGAAGTATTTTTGAAAGCTCCATTACGCGTGCAAAGTTATAAAAATATTTTACAAAATTTTCCACTACCCCCAGGACCTGTGTGAATCAGATAGGAGACATGGTCAGAAGCGTCAATTTTTTATGCAGAGAATTTAGAGAAGATTAAAGAAGTTATTAAATCTTTCAACGAGAAGGAAGAGGCAGTATCTATTAAAACAGCTAGAGAAGCATTACGATATGAACATTTACAAGAGAATTTAACATTTATATTTTTTATTTATTTTTGTTTTTTATATTTATATTTTTCGTAACATTTATATCTTCAAATTTTTTTTATTAGAACGATAGCAAGATGTCCAAACATGATATAAGTACACGTACACTGCAGTAGTGAAGACAAGTTTCTCAGATAGACATTTATGCAGACATGTTAGAAAAAGTGAATATTTATTCGAAAGAAAACGATAATAATGATAATAGTGATATTATCCAACCAACAAGACAAAAAGGAAATCGCATGGATAGTGATAGCGATGAAAATAGTGCAGAAGGAAACGTACCAGTAAATAACGTATTGCCAAGCGAAGAATATAGGATAAATATATAATATATATAAATATAAAATATATTTATATAAAAATATATAAATATAGGAAAAGACATCACCGAGTCTATTGCGTTAAAATTTACCACACTGTAGAAAATTATAAGAAATCAACCTTTGATTCTTTTGCAAAAATTTGCTCCTCGATGCCTACAAAATTCATATAAATCAAGTGTTGAGGACTCATCAGATGGATGACGGAGATCCTCTGAATATTGCACTTGGTGCCGACTAACTCGAAGGACCACCCACTGTCGTGGGACTAAATGAATTGCTAGTACTCTATTTGTAACGCGCAACCTAACCGTTACGCGTATCTCTCTATGTCTTCTGTTCTGTTCTGTCTGAAAGTCTAAGGTGTTCTCTTCTGAAGCTCTAAAAATGTTCTGTCTCTTCTGATGTTCTGTGCTTTCTGATGTTTGGGCCTTACCCTACTCCCCTTCGTGGAGTCGGAAAAACCCCGGCCATCCCTTCCAATGTGCCCGAAGCACGTTGTCTCTGGTAGGGATGACTGCGTGGGCCGCTTGCGCTTGCGGGTGGAGGGGTGTTTGGAAAGGCCGGGAAAGTCCAGCTGGCCAGGATTGCCGATGCCGATATCTAGCGGCCGATTCTCTGGTCCCTTAGCCTTGGGGCTTTATGGTAAGGGTTTCCAGAACCTAAATGATGGCATGACCTTCATCATCCTAAAAACTATTTAATTTATGTGTCGAACCGGTCCGCTAAAGAAATTGCCATTGCCCTAAACGGATTACAAAAAACTCATAAATGGTCGCCC